TTTTTTAGTGTTCAGTTGTAAGTTAAACTCACCTTTTAAGTGCTGTCAGTATAAATCTGTAGATCATAGACTCGTTCTGTCCCTCATTCTGTCGCGGGGCGTCACGTTCATTACTGAAATGTGAGATTTTCAAAAAATTTCAATTGTTCTTTTTGGACCCGAGTTTGACGAATATTTTTGGCTTACAGCACCAGATTAGTTTGAAATTTCTGTGAGGAAGGTGTTTATCCTCTCGGTGTTTTATGTTTTTAAACTTAGCAAAAATTCGGAGGCATTAGCAGTGAAACATACTAGCAGAAATAGAATACAGGAATTGGAAAGAAGAAAATCGTTGACATCATAAATAGAAATCCTAAGAATGAGTGGAGCCAAAAGCTCACTTACTTCTTCACTTTGACGCTCTTACGAATTGAAGCATCTGTGGAAAACGCTGGAGAGCTTCGAGTTCTTGTCCGAGAATGGGGCATCATAATTATTTCGGATGTGGAACTCGCCAGTCTACAAAAGCAGATTTCTATCTGAAAATGTCTCCAGTTGTTCCAAAGAACTGCCCTTACTTTACTTGACTGGCAGATCCCTGCTGTACATGATTAGGAATACGTGAAGTCTCTTCAGAGTAGAAGAGGGTGAGTTCCTTCCCAGAAAGGATCACGTCGAAGCTCTGGTGGGCGATCATAGCCTTGATCGACCATCATCATTCCCATCTGGAATAATTGAAGTTATTTCATGAATTTTGGACAGCAGACAATGGGTCAGAATGTGGGTCACACGATGTTACGACAAGTCCTGAATAAGTTTTTGTCCCACAGCTGACCGACTGAAAAAAAAACTGAACATTAGGTGTTGATCAGATCCCTTCGGGATGCGCTAGGGCGGGATATTCCATTTCTATACAATTTTTTGTTTGAATCCAGTTCGGCCTATGCAGCGGCTTGCGAGCCAGCCGATGTACAACTCAAGCTTTCACTCTCAGACACATTTGATCCCAATGGACCCATTGGGAGGCTCAGGGTATGGTCTCCATCCCGGTTTTCGGTACAGGGATATGGTCTCCATCCCGGTTTTCGGTCCCCAAACGGTGCGCCTGATGAACGATACCATTTGTGACTACACGAATTCCTTACACAAATGAGCAGTTCTTCGCATTTGCTGAGAGACTTTAGATGACCGCAAATATCTCAAGAATGGCTTGAAAGAACAAATTATGTACACCTACTCATCTTACCGTAATATTTCGGTCTATGAGAGCATTGGTCTCAAAGTCGTCGTCATCTTCTCCAAAAGGATTTATGAACTGCTTCAATCACCTTCATCCATCCCATATAGAATATGAATTGTAATACGGTCATTATTGGGAAGTAGAAGTCGATCTGGAGAATGTGATTAGAGAGAAGTTCTAAATTAACCAAGAAAATATTTGAGTTTGATCCCTTTCTAAGGGTCTACGCTAAGGCTTGGTCTCAAATACTGTAATTGGCTCAATCACTTAAATGCCCCTTTTGTCAGACGATGTGAGTGCACACTACCGCGAATACGAAAAATATCAAGCTTTGATTTGCGACCCTGATCAAGAGTGTCGGAGTTTGTTTGTACCTCATTTCCAATCTCATGTTCGATGACGATTTTCTGACGCGCAAGTATGCAGACGAGGAAGTAGAGGTGTACAGCTAAACAAACGACCTGAATAGTTTTTTTGTATTTTTGTTGACAAATTGGGAATTGTCTAAAAATCGCACAGCTCAACTAACCTGTGGATACATTAGGGGCAGAGGTACCCAGTCATAATTGAATACCCATTCCATATCCGTACGCCATTTTCTAATTTGCTTAAATATGAATAAAAATGTATATTGTATTTCAAAATGCTAAAATAGGAGACCCATATATATTGCCAATTGATAGATAATGTGAAAGATTCAATTTTGTTTCTTTCTCTTATGCGTCTTTGATTATAAATATACTCAAAGGAATCTTTCTCGGAAAAATCATGATTCTATCTCTACCATGAATCACTGGCTGAGACCCATCATTTGTGATGATATGACGACAAGAACGAAAAGAATAAAAATTGCATTTGTTTTGGCAGAGAATTCAAAAAGCAGGAAGGGGACTGCTACGCTTTCAAATTCCCGCCGGACATCTGTCACAAATACTGGTGGCGGGGACGATCCCACTTTGGTGCCGGATGCCCCTCACCAGGGGCCGTATGCTATCTTCCCCGAAGCTAGGTGACGCAAAGTTTCCTTTAAATTTATTTGCTTTGAACGATGTAGTTTCTTCATTTTCAATGCATGTTTACTTTAACCTACATACATACATTTAATGTAGGCCTTTTATCAGGGTAATCCCAGTTGGGAAGACAGAGAAAATTTAAAGGAATTTTCGTCCCCTAACCCCTTCGGGGAGGATAGCATACGGCCCCAGGAGCTGTTTTTGACCTTTTAATTTCTTCTACTAAACATCTAACACTTCTACTGATCCGTCTTCTATATCGATATTTTCTTCGATACCCTAAAATCGAACGCTTTGACCCGATTCTTTCAATTCGTCGCCTGATACGTGGCCGCCAAGGCGCATTTCTTTCCATGCGCCGCCTTTGGCGTCTCGCGGCCTACCTGCGACCGTCTAAATAGTATGGTATTCGTGGGTTCGCTCCTCTTCGGGAACTAAATCTTGGTACGTGAAACTTAGTATGTTCTCTCTAGTGGTCACAACAGACATGCTCATGTTAGGAAAGAAAGCAAGAGTTTCCTATGAAGGATTCCTTCAACTTCTGCATAACCCAGAAAAGTGGGGTGTAAGTTGGGAAGTTCTTGGCCTATAGCTTTCGCGCAATACGTTATTGCAAAGAAGAACTAATACCAGTTGTAATGTATGCTATGGTAATGCCGAAAAAGGAAAAGCTATGACTGAAGATGTTTGTAACTTGGAGTACCTCTTGAAGGGTAACTTTGTATTTGGCACTCTCAATATGACCATGTTTCCACGCTTGATATGTCATGGTAAGGGCCCAACTGGCCGGAATCCAATACTTCGGTGTTTTTGCTGAATCGTCATATGATTGGAATATTTCCTTCTCATGAGGGAGCATGAAACCTGAAAACAGGGTTTTATATGGGTTTCATGGTCTCAAGAGACTAGACAGTTGGCAATAAATTTTCTGAGAAAACCAAATATGGCAGGTCTTTTATTCGAATGCGTCTGAATGTGGGTATATGAGTCAGAAGCAAAAATTATATTCATTTGGCCCAGTTTTGAATGAAGGCTGAAGAAAAGAAAGCAGACAGATAGAAACGAAACTATCAGCTAAATTCTTTGCACTGGGACAGCTGCCATTTGGGGGGTGGGGAAAGAATATTTCAAGATAATTTGTTACGATCTGTGTGACATTGCCGTGACATACATTGCTGTTCACAATTTAGAAAATTTGAAGTCTGTACCTGCTGCGACGATAGTGTCCAATGTGGGAAATCGCCTTCTGACTCGCATACTTACATCTCGGAAGACAAGCACCTGAACAGTAAGCTGTCTTAATAAGGCCTTATGCTATTCTTCCTTCAAGGGGGGGGAGCAGGGGGCAGTTTGTCCGTCTAGCTTATCTGTTTGGGGTGGTGAAGGGGAAAATTCGAAAGGGACCGGTGTTTCCGGAAGTTCGTAGCAGGTCATGGCGCGGGAGGGGCAGTTTTTGAAAGGCTCTATGGAAATTAGGAATCCTTGACAACTCAAAAGCTAACAGCACAAATGAAACCAAAACTTAGAGAACAAACCGTATCTTGGAGACTCAGTCCCTTTCCTTCCCCATCTCTCTCCCGCTTGCTGTCGTTGTGGAAGGGAAGACGTGCGTGGCGTGAAAATAAGGTCACAACTCGAAATATTAAAGCTGGCGAAACTGCCATGGTGGTTAGGAGGTGGTAGGGAAGGCGGGGGGCGTGTGGGGAATCTCCAAGGATGGTGCTGATGATGAGGGGGTCGTATCAAGAGGGTTGGAAAGAGATCTCTTAGGTCTTATTTTCTAGAGAAAAAAATCACACGAAGGTTATGTAATGGTGATCGAATAAGCTCTACAGATTTTCTTTCCTCTCTATCGCATGAGAGTTAAATAGGACCCTTTGGAATGTTCGCCCTAGAAATCTTGTTTCAAAATGGAATTTTGCAAAAATATTTCCGCTGGCAACATGAGCATTTCGTCATTCGCTCACTCTCGTCAGTAGGGCAAACAATTTTTATAAGCGACATACCCGGCAAAAACCAGTTTGGTGAACCCTACTATATGACCTCTGACCTATGACCGTGGGAAGTTTGTGTTTTGTCACCCATGATGACTTGAATATGGTACTGTACTACGATATACAAGTCGCTGGACTTCTTTTAGTAATCTAGAATTCAAACTTTTTTCTTTATTGTATTTTGAAAGCCATTGAAGGGGCGGCTAGATCAAATAGCTTTGGAATTTTTATTTAGATTTTGTTTTTCAAATTGAAACAATCATGTCCCATGTGAAAACTGACCTGAACTAGTTCACAGTAGCGTAGAATGTTTCGTCTGTACATTCGAGCTCGCTGTGATCGCCCTCGGACGTACAAGGCACACATGAGACCAATGATAAAAAGAGAAGTCATTAAGATGAAGTAGTCGGTTGCTCGATTCTTTCAGAATACGTCAGGTGCTCTTTCGCGGAGGCTTTGCAATTGTAATGAATAGCTGATTTGAGTGGCCAAAAGTACTCCATCGCGCCTTGTTAGAATTCTGTATTTAGGAGGGGGGGTGATATAGGGTTTGAGTTGATATTTTAGAATTTTGCTTGAGTGGACCGAGCTTTACGTCATTTTGGAATCAATTTAGCTCATTAAAATAATTTTTCAAAACAAAATTCGTTGTGTTTAATAAAAAAAAGGTCAATTAATTTGAAATGGTGTCAGTCTTGGTTCGTCCAAGCCAAGTTTGATCCCTTGACCATTAAAGTCCGATGCTGTACTCTTGCCACTACACCAATTGCTGATATTGCAAGATATTGAATCGTTTTCATAGTGAGGTTTCGAAGGAACACCAGTTTGAGTCGCAGCTGGTTGTATTTAGGAGGGGGGGGGGTGATATAGGTTGGTATGAGCAATACTGATGTAGCCTATTACACCTATGTCGTGGTAAAACTAAGTGTACGTATACATTAAATTCACTAGGAGTACATCTTCTGCAGTTCTACGTAAGATATCAAGTGTGTGGCGTATTCCTCAGGTATCGATTAAAGTGTTTTTAATATCAAATCTTTACAAACTTGTCAATAAAGCCGATGCTATCGTATTGCTTATTCCATCTGTTGAACACCTCAGTGCAGAAAAATCCGAGCACAAGTTCCAGCGGGATATATTCGAGTCGCGCGTCGAAATATCGTACCACTGCTTCGAAATTTCTGAAAATTTGAAACATATATGTTCTTTCAAGCAATCTACCAATAATATGAGGAAAAAATAAGAGCTTTAGTTCCGTCGTTCACAATTCTCGACACAGTAAGCTTGTTAGTGGTACTTTTACGTGCGGCCGCGCTGCGGTTGATTCTTCTTCGTTTTCAATGTTTTCGTTTAGTCCTCTGATTATTTATTTACAATCGATCTTCGACTTTTCGTCCGCAACGCGGCAGCACGCAGCCTGATGTGCTTTGCTCAGGATGTTGTTGCGTTTTTACGCTTTGGGCTAAATAGGAAAGGTCTTACCTGTTGTTCATTGAGGCGCCAGCGATAAACGGCAGAGATAATAGCGTAAATGAGTAGGAAAAATAGGAGTTCCATGTAAACGGCTTTCCATATGCTTCCTTTCCATTTGAAAAGTAATTTGAAAAATGTCCATGGCTTGCTTGTCGAAACGGTTCTGTTGTAGTTGATCGTCATTCAGAATACCTGGTCTGAATGGGTATAGATAAGCAATTCGACCGTCTTGATACTCTGTCTCAATTCGGTATTTTATGGCCATGCGATAAGCCAAAACCCTTCTAATGTATTTCGTGGGCAATGTATGCCACAACGAAAGTACTTGATACTTTCTTCTGCTTACTGCCTTCTACTGTTCTTCCTCACACAAATCGAGTCTAAATGGCGGTGGTGTCATAGAGCAGTAGAGAAGAAAAGGCGAAAAGTTGTTGAAAGCAAGCCAAAAATTGATTACCAAAAAACTACGAATCGTTTGAAAGAAGTGGTAAAGCTAAGGGGCGGGGCACCAGGTAATGGTGTTTAAATATTGCTTCAGTCACGGTTCGTTGTTGAAGCGTTTAAGGTCCGAACAATTAAGCTACCCATTTGCACGTGCAGTGTCGTAATCGAGAGGAATTTTGTATGACAGTAGAGATTGCACATTGTCGTTCTGAACGTAAGCAGGAAACAAAGGAGCGAGATGCAAACACAGAAAATAAATCACTGCACCAAACACAGAACGATGCAGGCGCGAGGGCACGAGAGTGAGGAGGTTGCCAATGGCTCTGCGAAGTGTCGCCAGTAGGCTGATGTTTGAATAAATACAGACGAGCGCGCGGTCGCGTTGCGGTACTGAAGTGCACATTTGTGGAAAACGTGCACATTTTGCGAACTTAAGCTTTACGCAAGCGATATGTGCCTACTGGTGATCCGAAGTAGAACTTTGCTGGGTCTCTAGAAAAGTGTCGACAGAAAAGCAGTGGCAAAAGGTGGCAACGGTGATGTTTGTGTTGGTTAGGCGCGGCGCGTAAGTCGGTCTTTGACGATCAAGCGTATTGAAAAGATCGATTAGGCAAACGGAATTCCCTTTTGAGAACATGGCGTTTCGAGAGAGAAACGTTTATGGGCGAGAAGTGCGGGCTAATATTATGGTAAAGATCTCTTCAGTCGGCTTTTATCGTAGACTACTTCATATGACTTTTCAATGGTGTTCTTGGCTGAATAATTAACGAATTATCAAGTTATATGCAAGCGAAATACTTTTATTATTGTCGTTATTTTACCTCCTACTTTATTTGAGACTCGGTAAAGAGTGCTGCGTTGTGTGAAAAAACTTGCGAGACTTGCATCCCAGTCTAGAGGTGAGGAAAAATCCCGTCTGAAGCGGCTTTGGCTTTATAGGCAAAGCAATCGTGCGTCATTTGGTTCTAATCAAAGAGGATTACTGCTCTAGAACTGGTGTAGTGGGGGGAGGGATATTTGGTGAAATGGTCTCGTAATCCTGAAGGAACTTAGTGTAGGATATTTCTTCAGAGGGAAATTTCGGGAACTTTTGCGGTTTCTGAAGAATTCTACCTATCAAGATAGTCCCCACTCGACGTTCTTCTTTCGTGGACAATTTGTTGATCAACGCTATCGACACTATCAAGCAGCGGTGGCGAGAGGGAGTCTTAATCCGAAGTCGGCCACACGCTACGGTCAACCCCTTTTCTAAATGGTCATAGAGGCTAGTCATTGCAGGAGTTGATGTTTTTATCATCTTAAACAAGTTTCATGAAAATACAGCTCAGTTGGAGAATCATAGGGTTTGTTGGATCGGGTAGGTTCGATCTACGGGTTATGCAAGTGATAGCGCCCGGTGACATGATTTAATCATAGTCATTTATTCTGTTATGGAATTGGTACCTAGGTCCCTTGACACATTAAACATCCTAAAATTGTTCAAAGTCCTACGCCAATATTTCACATAAAAAGACTTTCATTCACTCTGGTCCACATTTCCGTTTCTAGAGCTTTTTGATTGAGTTGAATATTTTGTTGAGTTGAGCTAAGAACATGGACCCTCGAGCTCTCGCGGTTTGGCAGCAGGATTAGGCTTATCACATCTCCGATCTATAGGAGGTGGTGCTCGCGCTATGACAAGAACCATACCCTTACTAGTTTTTAACCGATGGGCTGTGCTCGGAGGATTAGAACAGACGATGAAAATAGTCTTTTTTCTTCGTGTTTTCCGAGAAAATGCCTTGACAGTGTTAGCAGCACTCGTAACCCACGTAAACATTGTTTTTATTCTTTTCTGGCTCACATCTGAGGAATAAGCTCGTATGAGTGGGTGGCGCGTCACATGGGATCAGCAGTGAGCACTTCAACATGTCCCATACTTTTCCAGATAGCTGAAAGTGAAGAAGAACGCTATGTGGGTTCTATGTTGCTCGAGCCACGAAGTCTGTTTCTGATGACGGACGACGCCTACATAAATATGCTGCATGGTATCAAGGAAGTCAAGGAGGATTTTCATTGATGAGAAGGTGTTCAACGGTGAAGAGCATCGAGGCGAAACCTTGCAAGAGGCACCAGGTGAGCATTTCTCTCAAAATCATTACTGCTCTTCAGCTCAAAAAGGCGTCAGTAACTTGTCCAGCAAGTTTCAAAGTACTCGAAATTTTTTTCTTCTCGGATTTTGGCCATATTCCGGTGCTTACCAATTTTGCCAGTCTCGCCAGTAAACTTCATTTTCGCATCGTTAAATCAAATATGCTTATTAGCCCACACATATTGGTGGGCTTACAGTTCCGTCGACGCGTGAGCACCTGCGTGGGACCTTTTAGCCCACATGTGGAAAACAAATATTAAGCTTTTCTTTCCCATTTCATTCGATAAGGTTCCTTATACACCGTACAGAGGATTTTTCATTCCAACTGCTTGATGAGATTCCTGAAAATTTCACTGAAGTCCCGCGCGACTGCAGAAAATAACACATGCGCGGCCTTACACGTGTAAAATTTCTAGCCCCCATCAGTAGCATGTTTTTTTTTCATCAGTATGTGTTTTGTAGGTACTCTGGTGACGATCCGAAATGTGCCAAACGTGTCCAAGTTGAGCGTGACGGCTTTGATTTCGAAAAAGAAATAGGTTCTAATTGAAATTCCCGGTTCTTTGTTGTTATGCTAATGGGTTATTATTGTGAATTTATTCTATAATTTATGTGTGTGGTAGATTCTTTCTATGTTCACGTAATAAATATATGATATTTTTATAGATGTAGAAAGATTAGAACTCAGCCAGGTCGATGTACTGAGTGGTTCAGGTATGATAGAAATGCACGGATAAAAAATGAATTATAGTGCGTTGCGCTAAAAGAACTACAGAGAAGCCACGTGTCACAGGGAACTGACTCCCAACTCCCCCGCCTAGGCCTAAGTTAGGCGGCAGCGGTAAGTTATCCGACAGCTACCAACACTGCCCGGCCATGCTGCCCTTCAGCAGCACAACGGGGTCATAAGCATTCGCCGGTATTTCGGAAAACGGGTATACCGAACATCCTGTGAATTTGGCAAGCCTGCTAAAGACTCAGAAACCGGGCCATACATCCCCAAAGGAGGCGTGGAGTTCAACTTATTAAAGGAGGTGTGAAAGGCGTGAGAATTTCAGGGAGACTTCACTTGTTACAGACTGGCATCTTTCAACAACCGTAAGAAAAAAGGCGTGCATCGTTCGAGTTTGACGGGAGTTCTTGCACGCGACGCTCGCGGAAAGGCTCCACTGTGCGTGAAAAAAGTAACAGAAAAAGTGTGGTAGTATCTTTCAGGCACCTCCTTCCCTTTATTACATATCACGCCACCTGAAGAAGAGGAGGTCATCACGTCATGCATTGTGAACGCTCCGCAACCGAAATGGACTGTGCTTTTGAATCGTCGATTACAGAACTATGGTGGTGTGGTTGGCAAGAAGGCGCTGATACCAGCTGATGATATTCCATTGGTACGGAGCCTTTTTTAAAGGGTTCATTTTGCTTCTTTGGTGCAGTCGGCTGTATATTTCTAACTAATGGGAGGCTCAGTTACCTGATGAAGAATACTGACAACTTGGGTGTCTTCCTGAGTCCATCCAACCATATTCTAGTGAATGAGGTAGGATATCCTTGGAGTCAACAATAGCTGCTTTTTGTTTATATTTATTTTTCAGTACACTCCGGACAAGGAATTATGCCACACACAGGATGGACCGGCTTTCTTTCAGCTCGTCTCGAACGTTACCATGGGTTCACATACGCTTCTCGATTTGTATAGACCAGTGAATCAAGAGGTGGGTGTGGTTTGTGGAAAGAGAGGGCGTTTACATGGGTCAAAATGGGTAATTCGCGAAAATCATCATGAAGGGTTAACATGCTAACGAGAGGCATAAGTTTGAATTGAATACTGCGTTTTGCTCATTTTTGATGTCCTATCTGCCAGGTCCTTCGTGAAAGTTTCCATTTACCCTTTTCAATCTATCAGGCGCGACTGGTCGTTTTGGTTCGCCAACTCGGTTTGAGCCCTTGGCTGGAGTGAGCACGGTGCCATTTCTGCGGCTCTACCGTGTCCTGGAGTTCCAGCCCTGGCTCGAAACTCCGCTTGAGCGAAACGATAGTCTCCTTTCTCCATCCAAGCGATTCCCGTCCTTGAGTCAGACCCGTCTGGTGTGAATAGAAACAGCTGTTTATTCGGTTAGCCACCAGCAGTAGAAGTATCAAATTGCGGACATTCAGAACCGATAACGATTTTTGAATGGATACGAATGCGTGCGCCATGCCAAAGCGATTATTATGAAGCGCCCATTATGTCGTAATCGTTTTCTTTCCTATTCTATCCCAGTTAACAATTTTTCTAGGCGCTGAACCAAACCAGCGGTGTTTTCCGTCGTGTCTGAGGGTCTACGCAAGTTTTTCCAGGGTTGATTTTTATGAGATTGGACTAAAATATTGGCTATAAAAAGAACAAGATCGAGTTGTGATGACTATCACTAGCCGTGTTATTCACTCAGTTTACATTCGAAAACTTCTACGATTCTGATCAAAGGTCGAATGCATGGCGTACACTAAATTACGTATCAAAGTACTGACCACATTTTGGCTGGCTATTTTCTTTCTTCCCTTTGAAAAAGAATCTCAATTTACTGAATTCGGAGTTTACACGTTTATTGTTTTATATTATACACGAATTTCTCACTGTACACGGGCGACTCGGTCGGTATAGCGACACTAATTGGGCGGATGTCTGTGCCGAAGGAATAAGCTCGTTGACTGGGGATGGCTCGACTTGTATGGTCTCAAGGATCACAACAGGAGGTTTTTCTTCCGTTTTAATCCTGGCACGATTCAAGGACGGAATAATGACGAAATGCAGTGATGAATCCTGAAAATAAGTGATGTAGTTGCAATATATGCAAATTGTATATTTGTTAAGTAATGTGATAAGTAATACGAAAAGATGAGGTTTTCACGGCGTTCGAGCCTAACAAAATCTTACTTTTTTAGTGCTGTCAGTATAAGTCTGTAGATCATCGGCTCACTCTGTGTCTGTGGCGGAGTGTCACGTTCATTGCTAAAATGTCAAATCTTTGAAAAATCTCAATTTTTCTTTTGGCTTCAGTTTGACGAATATATTTCGAAATGCAGCACAAGATTTCTTCTGTAAAGGAGGTATTTATCCTTGCAATTTTTCATTTTTCTTGATTTCATTCCGAGTAACATTTCAGAGGTAAGCACTAAAGCTAACTATTATGGCGCAGATAAGATACAGGAAGTGAAAAGAAGGCGGTCTTGACGCCATAGAATAAAGTTATTAAGGATAAATGGATCCAAAAGGCTTACTTACTTCTTCACTTTGACGCTCTTACGAATTGAGGCATCTGTGGAAAACGCTGGAGAGCTTCGAGTTCTTGTCCGAGAATGGGCATCATAATTATTTCGGATGTGGAACCTGCCAGTCTACAAAGTGAAGATTTCAACTAAAAAAGCCTCTAGCTGTTCCAAAGAACTGCCCTTACTTTACTTGACTGGCAGATCCTTGCTGTACATGATTAGGAATACGTGAAGTCTCTTCAGAGTAGAGAGGGTGAGTTCCTTCCCAGAAAGGATCACGTCGAAGCTCTGGTGGGCGATCATAGCCTTGATCGACCATCATCATTCCCATCTG